TTATAAAGAAATAAGTGGGTGAGGGAATAGGATAAGGGGGTATAGAAGGGTACCTACATTAATGGAAATGGGATAGAAAGGAAATAACATATATTCTGGAAAGCTAAAAAAGTCTTCAAAATTCAGATAGAAACAAGAGGGCACGGGGAAAGGGTGGGAGGGGAGTATATGGGAGGAGGAAAAGCATAAGGGAGGGATCTGTGGGGGTGGGATTGGTTGTGTAATAGCAGGGCAAGATAGCAGGTAGGAGAAAAGCAGAGGAGTTAGGGGAGATAGGAAATAAGACATACACACAAGCATAAAATAAAGATCAGGAATAGAATTTATTAGGGAGAAAAAGCAAGGGTAATGATCACAATCTCACACAAAGTTCAAGCTAAAATAGACTTAATCAAAAGAGAAAAATAGGGAAACTATACTATATGTCAGCCATATTAATCAATATTGGTCCAGGGGTGGGGAACCTGCAGCCCTTAGGCCATGTGTGGCCTTCGTCCTCAAGTGTGGCCTTTTGACTGACTCCAAATTTTACAGAACAAATCCTTTTATTAAAAGGAAGTAAAATTTGGGTTTAGTTCAAAGGCCACACTTAAGGACCTAGAAGGCCACATATGGCCTTAAGACTGTGGATTCCCCAGCTCTGTGAGACTATTTAAAATAGACAGTTAAAGTTGGAATATTGTTGTGGTATAGGAAATGCTTCGTTGGTGGATTTAGAAAAATATGGGAAGACTTGAACTTATGAAGGAAGATGTTATCCACCTTCAGAGAACTAGAGGACAAACAAATATAGTACAATCTTACATAGGTGCATATGAATGTATGTGTGTATGTATGTGTGAGACTATAGATATCTATGTATATGTCTGTGTAAGTGTACATACATGTATATGCATGGATAGGTTTGTATATATGTGTATGTGGACATCTGTGTATATACATATATATGTATGTGTGTATACACACACACACATATACATACTTAACTGTAGCCATTTTGGGGAAGGCGGAGAGGAAGGGGAAAAAAAGAACAAAGTAAAAAGTTCACAGCAGAGAACAAAATAAAATCTATAGGGAAGTAAAGAAAAGATGGACAGCTCTGAACACAATGGGTGATATTTATTGTATAGATTTTCTTGAAATGGAAATTTGTTGCTTTATATTTTGAATCCTTTCTTATGTTCTGCTGTGCACATGGCATTTTTTGTTCTTTTCTTATTTTGCATTTTAGTTTGATTTAAGTTTGTTTTAAGTTTGTTTGTTTTTTCTTTTCTTGTTTTGTATTTAATTTTAAAATTTTAAAAATTACCAAAACAAACAAACCAACAAATGAACAAAATACAAAACAAAACCCGGGGGGCTGGATGCAAGAGTTAGGAAATTAAAGAAAGATAATCTTCAAAGATAGAATTGTTGGGTCAAATCAAATACTATGAAAATTAAAGGGGATAAATGTAAAGTCTTATATGTGGCCATGAAATAACAACTTTATAAGAACACAGCGGGGTGGATGTGGTGAGAAGTTTGTCTGAAAAAGATCTGGTGCTTTTAGCAAACCATAGTCTCCATATCATCACCAGGATGATATTAGGCAGCTAGAAGGCACAGTGGATGGCATTCTGGACCTAGAGTCAAGAAGACCTGAACTGATCTGGCCCCACACACTTATTAGCTGTGTGATCCTGGGCTAATCACTTACCCTTCATCTGCCTTAGCTTTCTCATCTGTAAATGGGGATAATGATAGCACCTACCTCCCAGGACTGTCATGAGGATAAGGTGAAATAATATTTGTAAAGTGCTTCTCGAACCTTAAAGAGCCATCTACATGCTATCCTCATTATCAAGCAATCATGAAAGCTAATACAACTGTGATAACTGTGATGTTTATTTGATGTTGTAGTTATAAATGATAGAACTCCAATAAGGAGTCAACTTAGGCTGAGTGGTTCTAATAACCATAAACATATAAGCAATGACAAGAGCTTCTACTTTCCACTGACTAATTCTGATCCTGTGTCAAGCAGTTAATTACAAGTCCTGATTCATGAGGCTCTAAGGTCGACTGCAGAACCACATCTATTCCTGGGTCTCTGATTACCAACTCAAACCTTGCCCAATTTCTGATTTAGAAACTCACTCTACCCAAGTCTGGCTTTGATAAATGACATGGAGAATTTCTCACTACGTGTGGTGTGATTACCTATTCCCAACTAAGCCCATTTTTAAGGTATAAAACATATTTATTTATCCCCCTCCAAACATGTATTCCAACTGACAGCTCCCTCTCCCTTGAAGTGGTTGAGTTTCTTTGCATCTTTGGGGCCAAACCTTTGGCTGTCTGTATTGCCGTGTAATGCATGTATTTGCTTCCCCATGCCCTTCTTTTGGCCTTCTTCTTGCATCACATAATAATAAAGCTCATGTTTGGACTAACTTTCTGAGTACCAATTTCCTGTAAATCACCAAACTTGAGTCTGTGCTTTAACCTAATCTGTGAAGCCAAATATAATGATGACCCTGCCCTCCATTAAAATAGGGGTAGCTGGCAGAAATGAAGTGATAATCCTACTATATTGTGCCCTGTTCATAATGTCACAATTACTGAATGGAAGATACAAAAGAATACATAGGAGTGTATGTAAGGAAAGGATTAAAAAGCCTCATTCAAGTCATACTCCACAGCCTGATTGCAACACATGAGGGAGCCTGGGTTTTTGAAGGCTATCCTAGCAGAGAGTGGTTTGTCTGGTTCTGCTATGCTGGAAAGACTCTGGGTAAAGTCCTGGCAATAGGTGGAGTTTTCTTCCTAAAGAGCAAATATGACATAAATGTTGAGTGGTTCTTCTTTATTGAGCTATTTGCCTGGGGATATTTGGTCATAGCAACCCAGGAAACAAAGAAAAATAAGAAATAGTCCTCACTTTAGTGTAGCCATTTTTGTTTTTCCAATGACAAGGACAGGGTGGCTGAATAGGGAATCGAAGGGCTAAGAATCATAGTCCTTCTATATCAACTATGAATTTAGCCTTTGCTGCCTTACATGTAAGAACCTTGTCCACTAGCCAACCAAATACATATACTGTTGGAGGAATTGGATCGCATCAATCTTGTCATCCTCTTTGTAAATAAAGGCAGAAGACAGAAGGAAGTTGCAGTTGAGCTGGAAGATGGTTTGAAAGTTCTCCTGGGATAAACAAATGAAGGAGACAGTGGAGCTGAGTTTATCTTACGTCTAATGGCTACAAGAAACAGGTTTTCACGGGATATTTAGTAATCTCATATTGCAGTGCCCACTTAAGTATTTATTTTAAAAAAAAGTGTGCCATGAAAAAAATGTAGTTTCCATAGCAACTTTTGTTCAAAGGGTGAAATGGAAGAGGAGTTCTATAAAAGACTGGATAAGACTTTCCAAATTAAATCAACATAGATATCAATACTCGAGGACTTTAATGTAAAGATGGGACCTGAAGAGGACATTTAAAAGTATGTTGAGAAGTACTGATGAGGAAAATGCAATGAGAGAAACCAAGGACAGGTTGATTGTAAAGAAACTTCATGCCCACCCATTATGAATACTGTCTTCAATTCAGTGCATTTCAACAAGCATCTCTGTATCTCAAACTGATATGAAGCTACCCATTGTACTCCACCAAGAATTCTACCTTCTGCAAGAGACTTTTTCTGATTCCTCCTTAATGCTACTGTTTTCCCTCTGAGATCCATCTCTAATTTGTCCTGGAGAAATATTACAGATTATATATATAGATATAGATATAGATATAGATATATATACATATATATATGTATACACACACACCACGCACGTGCACGCACATACACATACACATATATGTATATATACACATATGTATATGTAATCTGTAAGAGTTGTTTTCATATTGTCTCTGAGGGCAGGGGCTGTTTTTGCTTCTTTTTACATCCAGCTCTTATCGCTGCATCTGAAACACAGTAGGGGCTTAGTAAATGCTTGTTGACTTGTTCCCTTGTTCTATTGCTGCTTGTACTTTGCCAAATCCCAGCGCTGGATTATCTTCGTAATTATTTCATTACCCAACGCTCCTTTGATTCTTCCTAATTGGCTGTCACACACATTGACTCACTTTCCTTTCCTATTCTTCAGTCCCCCTCTACATCATTGACTGTCTTCTCCTCCTTTGCTCACATCTCTGATAATGAACCACACCTTCTCCTCACCAAAGCCAACCCCTCTACTTGTGACCTTGATGCTCTCTCTCCCATTTCCTCTGGGAACTATATCTAATGATCAGTCTTGCCATCTCTACTGGTTCTTCCCTTCTGCCTAGAAACATACCTACAATCCCTTGCCTCTCCTCATTTTTTAAAGTCTTTCCCATTATCTTGCCATTCCCTCAAACTCTTTCCTGTTTCTCCCTTTCTCTTTTGCATCCAAATATCTAGAAAGGGTCAACCACGTTCATTGCTCTCCATTTTCTTACTTCTCAATCCCATCTACATTAATTCCAGTCTGGTTTCCAATACCACTCGTAATGGCCACAAGCCTTCTTGAGGTTATCAGCAATTTATCAATTGCAAATCTAGGGGATTTTTCCGAATCTTTAACTTAGTCCTTCACTTTAACTTGATTTCTTTGTAGATTTGGACACTCTTGACCACTTCCTATTCCTGGTTACTGTCTCCTTCTCCTTTCTGACCACTCCTTCTCAATCTCCCTTCCTTTTCCCTCTCTGCTCCCTGTCTTAATAGACCAGCTCCCACGGGGTCAATTACCTGTATTTTTAGCACTGTCCAACTTTGTTTCTCTCTATTTTTGTAAGCATAGCATCATCCTTCCAGGTTTGGACATATAACTTACTTCTCACTCTCTTACACCCCAATCTGCCATGTGTTATTGGTTTTCCCCTTTGTTTCGCCAATATCACACAGTGGGTGTGCATCCAGCCTCTTTCCATGATTCCACACTGCTGGAGGAAGAAGAGAGAAGGCAGAGCATCTTACCTGGGAGCAAAGTCTAGGGGATTAATGATGAATCCAGAGAAGCACAGGGTGCTTGTTGAGCTAGCCAGTATCATAAAGGTTACAGCAGTAGTGGAGTCAACATATGGGACAGCTACGGTGAATAAAGATGGGAAAAACATTCCTGGAGAGCACAAGCACAAAAAAAGGGCATATATAAGTTGTCTTTCTCATTAGAAAATAAGCTTTGAGGACAGGGACTATCTTTTTGCTTGTTTTTGTATTTTGTGTGTGTGTGTGTGTGTGTGTGTGTGAGGCAATTAGGCTTAATTAACTTGTCCAGAGTCACACAGTTAGTGAGTGTTATGTGTCTGTGGCCAGATTTGAACTCAGTTCCTCCTAACTCCAGGGCCAGTGCTCTATCCACTGCACCACCTAGCTGCCCCCTTTGTTTTTGTATCTTGAGCACATGGTCCCTTGTGCATAGTGGGTGGTTAATACATGATTATTTACTCATCCCATTTTTGAAATAAATGGTAAGAAATCTCTTGATATGATGGAATGTATAACACTGTCCTTACCCACGAATGTGAAGAGTTTCCGAACTCTGATGAGTGTGAGAATCTTCTTGGACAAGAGGAAATCAGCTATTTTACTTCCCAGAATCATACTGATCCATGAAGTAATAAGAGGCAGTGCACTCAGAAACCCATTCTATGGAGAAGAAGTTGTGCAGAATTGAGGAAGGTGGACACGTGTTCTATTCATTCATTCACTCATTCATAGCAGCAATGTGCACTCTTATCTAAACTGGTCACAGAGACAGGCTGCTGGGCAAAAGTAGTAGGTGAGATTTGTCTTTGGTTCATCCAGTCTGCCTCTTAAGTGTACATCTTTGCTTGTTGGTGCAGAGAAAACACAGGTCCCCTCATGCACTGAGAGTGCAGGCAAACTTACCTTTGCCTTAGGTTCATAGACTTAGGGCCAGAAGGGACATTAACATTCATCTAATTCAACTCCCTCTTCTTATGGATGTAAAAACTGAGGCCCAGATTGGTTTAAGGGACTGGCCCAAGAGCCCATAGGTAATTTCTCTATCATTTTCAAAGAGGACCAATGACATCATGATATTGGGGTAAAATAGTGGATGATGGGTGATGTCTTGACTTGTGTGTAAATTGGACTGAAGTGAGGCAGAGTTGGGAAAAATCATCAGTCTCACTGTCTCTTCCTGAGTCATTGAAGTCCAGTGGCAGGACAAAAGTCAAGATGACTGGCGATGGCCTGGGATGCAATGAATGACCTTGGCATCTTTGAAGTCTGACCAAACTGAAAGTACTCCATAGGCCTGCTTCACCTGCCTTCATGACCATTGGAACAAATTGTTCTCATCTGCCCATGCCACTGGGGGAAGTCTTCACATACTTGGGGCAGACATCCCCCTACCACCAATGGGTTTGAGGCTTGTCAGTTACCCTTAACCTGGTTTAGCCTGTATGCCAAGATGGTTTTACCAGAGGGAGACCACTGTATGTGTTACAAAAAAGAGTCGGATGACAAGGGGGTACCAGAGGTGGATGAGCAGCCCTGAAAAAGACTCAGCAAGACCTCACACCAGAGATGCTGGTCCTCCTTTAACATCCCACACACCCCACATTGGTAGTAAATGGCATCAGTACTATACAACCTGAAACTATTCCTTTTTGCTCTTTCCATCAAAACTCCAATTTCTTCAGTGCTCTCTTCTCAGCTAACTGTTGCAAAGCAGCACAGGAAGTTGGAACAGAGCACTCATTTTTGAGTTAGAGCATTATGTTATGCTGTTTAAACTAATTGAGCCAGCGAAGGAAATGGTAAACCACTCCAGTATTTTTCCAAGAGGACCCTAAGGACTTTGTCCATTGTGAATTTGTAGTACCAAGTCAAACTAAGGTTCCAGTGACTGGTAACTAAGTTAGTATCTCACTCTTCCCAAAGGAATTTGCATTTAAAGAAATTACAGATGCTTATGTTAAAAAAAATCTAAAGGAGAGATTCCCAAATCACAGGCACTCCCATAGTATGCAGAGGAGATAATTTCAGATAGAGGATGCTTTTAGCCATGTTGCTGACTATACTCTGAAATCCTTAATTCAAATGTTATGGAGTCCATGTATGTTCTCCTTGGTTATAGTTCAACCATTGTATTTCAAGAGAGCTATAAGGGGGCAGCTAAGTGGCACAGTGGATAGAGCTGTGGCCTTGGAGTCAGGAGGACCTGAGTTCAAATCTGGTCTCAGACATATGACACTCACTACCTGTGTGACCCTGGGCAAGTCACTGAACCCGTTGCCTAAAAAAAAAAAAAAAAAAGGTAGAGCTATAAGAAATGTCATATGGATAACTTGAAGTAGTAAAGATAACATTGGACTGGGATCCAAAAACACTGGGTTCATTTAGTTCCTGGCTCTGTCACCACTATGGAATCATGGATAAATAATTTTACCCTTCTGGGGCTCATGTGCTTTTTCTTTTCAAATGGGGATTTTGGACTAAATCAGATTTATAGATTTAAGATTGGTGTACTTTTAAAAAATATTTTGATAACTATGTAAATAGTTATGTAAATCAATCAACACTTATTGAGAATCTACTATGTGCCAGGAGTGCCAAATTGCATACATTTTAAAACATTATTCCAAGAAGGGGCCCATAGGTTTCACCAGACCAATGCCCAAAGGGTCCATGACACAGAAAGGTTTAAGAGCCCCTATGCATGTTTAAGAGCTCCTGTGCAGGTTTAAGAGCCCTGTCTAACTCTAGCATTCAATGATTTGTGGTTCCAGAGAGAACAGGTGTGTTGCCTGTGTGATAATCTATTGAGAATTGAAATAATCCTTGACCTCTTCAGCATTTGACAGTTAACCACCTGATCCTAGATACTCACTCCTCTTTGGCTTTTCATGGCCCCAGTACTCTATTTCCTCCCAATAGTAGAACTGTTTCTTCTCAGCCTCCTGTGCTGTTTCATCCTCTAAATCACACCTTATAACTGTAGGTGTGACCCAAAGCTTTGCCCTTGGCTCTCTTCTTTCTTTACACTTAGTCATCTGGTGACCTCATTGGTTCTCATGGATTTAATTAGCATCTTTATACCAACAGCTCCCAGATGCATGATGCAACTTGAGTCTTTCAAGCTCTGGCAGTGCATCTTAAACTGACTGTTGGACATATCTAACTTAGGCATCTAAAATTCAACATATCGAAAACAGTACTCAACTTACTTACCCTTAAACTCATCTCTCTCCTGAACGTTCCCATTTCTGTCTAGGGCACCACCATCATCCCAGTGACCCAGATTAGCAACTTTACATAAACAGTCACTCGCCCAATCTTAACATTTCTATCCCTGCTGTGTATCTTGCATACATTCATTTCTCCCTACTCAACACTGCCACCACCACAGTTCAAGCCCTAATCTCCTCTCTCCTGGGTTACTGCCATGGAAACAAAAACACAGACAATTCGACATTTTTGTCTCTCAGACTACCATCTTGGATCCTCCTGGGTTTTCTTACAAAACAAGATTTTTTTCATTAAAAATAAGAATGTTGTTAATGTTAGAAATGTAAGAATTTCAAGAATAGTACAAACATTCAATCTGCCATCTCTGTACCTGTTCACTGGTTGTCTCTTTCCTCCCTGAAACATACTCTTCACCTCATCTCTGCCTCTTCAAATCCCATCTTTCCTTTAAGCCTCTGGTTATGTGATATTTTCTCTATGAAGCCTTTCCTGATCCTCCATCTACTAGTCCCTTTCCTCCCCATTTCCCTGGTATCTATTTTGAATTTATTTTGTATATTCTTACTTATTTATAACTTGTCTCCTCCAATAGAATGCAAGTTGTTTGACAACAGGGACTGTTTTTTTTCCCTTTGAATCCCCAGTTCCTGACCAGTGCCTGGAACTTCGTAAGGGCTGGATTGATTAAAAAGTCCATTAGATAAATGAACGGTAGGCAGGAATTATGAACTTACCTTTTTGAAGTTTAAATCAAACATATTGTCTAGTAGTGTTGGCAGTGATACTGTTAAGTTGCTAATTAACCAGAATCGACAAATGTTAGGGATTATAATGGCCCAAATTGCCAGCGTCTTGATCATAGCTTTGAAAGGCAAAGACCA